CATGTGAAAACACGTGGTGATGAACAGTCATGAACAGCATGCCACGTACCCTGTGGTAGACCATAATGTCTTGTTTGTCACCTTTCTTCAGTGGTTCTCCTTCAGTCAAAGCCATGAAATACCAATGTCACAGAGGAAAGTGTTTGTGGGAGCATTGCTCAGAGATGTTAGTCCATCCAGCCTGGCCAGCTTGGGCCAGTGAGCTGGAAAGTAGATGAGAGTTCCCCCATTGCTTTTAAGCAAGAGTTCCAAATGAAATGATCTGCTTCAGGTACAAGGATTTTGAATAATGTTTAGCCCTGGTGTGAATATCTGGTGGTAGAGCAGCTGTTTTCGTTTACTCTGCAGCCCCAACTTGTTCATGTCTTCTCTGGGTCTCCATGTGTTTCAGATAGAGCGTCTACAGTTACATTTCTCCCTCTCTCTTTCTTTCATGTTCCTTTGCCTCCTTTTGTTCACCATCAAAGTCTCACAAGGTAAGTTTGTTTCTGTTCTTGCTCTTCCTCCTCACACCCCGTGGAAGCTCCCCATAGAGAGGAGCAAAGCATCAGACAGGGCAAACCAGCTGGAATTCGCTTTGGCCAGTGCTGCCTGCTCCCAGCCCAAGCCCAGCTGTGTGCCTGTATGTGCGTGTGTCCACCTGTCTCTGTGTCTGTCCTGTGGCCACACAGCCCCAGGGATGATGAAAATCCTTGCACAGCGTTGAAATGTCCCTCGGGCTGCCCCAAGGGCACCCTTGGAGCAGAGCAGGAACCTCTTTCAGCCTTGAGAGCATCCTCTGCGTGAACCCAGTCCCAGTAGCACAGCCTGTGCACAGACTGTGTTCTTTTTGCCTCGATCTTACATGCAATGGTCTACAGAAGAAGTGCAATTTCAAGTAAACTTGATTAAATTGGTGACTTTGTGTGCACACCAACTTAATCATGATCCCAGAGCTGTCTGCTGTATAGAGCTGTACCTCAACTGTATTGTAGGTGTACTAACATAAAGTTGCTTCATACAGAATAGCTATTCCTATGCAAGAAATGCAATAACTATTTTCATGTAGAAACTATTTAATAAGTTAAGCCTGAAGTATTATAACAAGTAAACTTAGCATAGGACAGTAATTTTTTGGCTTACCTTGGTCATGTAAAGAGAGACACAGGCCCAGGCACTGTAACTGCCTTCTAGCCAGCTTCAAACCTGTTAGCAGGACTGAAAGGATTTTTAAATTTTCTTATATCTCAATAAAAGGCATGGCTGTGCAAGCAAGGTACTATAAGCATAACTTAGCTTGCTTACTTTAACTAAAGGTTTGTGGCACACTCCAACTTTCTGATCCATATGGTTGGTTGGATTTTCTTTTAACCTAAACAAACTAAACTGATGTTGCAGATGAGCCCATATTATAGGCTTCCAGCCGGGTCATCTTGCCTTCAGAGCTAACTCACACTTAGAACATAAATGCATGAGAAATCATCATTTTGACCCCTAGAAAAAGGCATTTGAAAAAGATGAGAGTCTTTTTGTTCAGCTGTGCACAATGGGCAGCAATGTGGTTAAGTGTCATTAATCTGTCCTTTGTGCTCATTTAACATCAGGAGGTCCAGACTGCCAAGGCTGGATGAATGTGTGGATTTTTCCAAAGTACAGGAAAGATAATTTGCTGGAGTCAATTCTTAGTTCAGCAAAAAGTCCTTTAAAAATAGGGTTTGTGGCACCTGCTGCTATTTTGCCTTCAGCTTTTTTAAGGGACTTGCAAAAGACTGACATGAGGGTTGGAAAGAAATATTAAAAAGCACCATTGAAAAGTGTTTGAAGCATTAAGCATTCTTCTGAGATATGAAATTTCAGACTTCAAATATTCAAAATATAAAAATGACCAGCTACTTACGTTATTTAAGCTAAAAAAAACCCCTTCACATTTAAAAAAAGTTTTTTAGTTGAAACATCTCTATGGCAGGCAGTGTAGGTAGGAACAGTTTGTTTGTTTCTTTAAAACCGAGATCTTTTGCACTGATACTATCATAATAACAATCCCAGCTTTTCTTAAAAGGAAAGCAGGTAAAGCTTCTGGTGCAGCCATTGCAACCACCAAGGAAAGTGTTAAAAAAATCCAGTATTTTTCTCACTATCCTGTGTCAGCATGAGAGCTGCAGGTGCTCTCCTGTTGACCTTCCCTGCCCTAGCCCCCTGCATGGAAGGAACTGTCCCCTCTGGGATTTGCAGCCTCCCCTCGACTGTTGTGTGCAGGATAGTAAATAAAGTGGGGCCCCAAGCTCCTGAGGGACTGTGACAAACAGCAGAACAGGCTGCTTTAGCCCTTGCAGCATCCATGTGGCTGCAACACAGCAGGGTCCCCAAGGGCTCTGTGGCCTCAGCTGGGAGGTGCATTAAGCCTTGTGGCCATGGCAAGAGGAAAGGGTATGGAGGAGGGATCCAGGCAGTTCCCCAGTGCAGTTGGTTTTGCTGCTGAAAAGCTCATTCTCTCCAGATCTGAGAGGCTGCTGTGCCCTAGAAAAAGCACCTGTAATTCTGCTGGACTGGAGTGAAGCAAGTGCATAACTAGGCAGTGAGATTATCATTAGGGGAAGTGTTCACAGAGGCATCCCGAGGTCTGTGTTTGGACTCTGACATGCCAGCCTGTGATTAAAGGCAATCCCTCTTCTCCTGCAAGAGATGTTTGTTCACCTCTGCAAACTGTAGTGCAAATTGGTTGCTGCTGGAGAGCTCTGCTAGCAAAAGCTAGCATGGGAATAAAAAGATGGATAGGGGAAACTGGCCTCCTCCTACCTGGCAGTCCATTGGAAGGACGAGGTTCAAACATAGATCACAAGTAGAGATGTGTGTTGGATGTACGACCAACAAGCTGCCAGGTCAGTGCTTGAGAACAACCATGTCTCTGGAGCAGGTCACAAGGGCTTATGTTTCCCTTACATTGCAGAAAAACACACTCTGTAAAAGTTCAGGGTTATTGTGTAGGATATACTGAAACTGGTGACCACTGGTAGCTGCTGTTCCTTTGTAATCTTTTCAAGCAGACGTGCCTCTGCCTGTGCTGGGGCTGGTGGCAGGCAGGTGCTGCAGCAGCAGCTCTGGCTGGCTGGCAGCATCCTCATGACTGTGCCCAGGAAGGTGGCTGCACCCCGTGATTGCATGGGACAGGCATTGGCTAGAGCAGGACAGGGTGACTCGCTGGGCTGAGGCTGCCCAGGACAGTCTGGCTGTGAGAGGAGATGTGGCAGCCCCCTATTTTCCCCCATGGTTTTTGCTACTCCTGGTAAACCAGGCTCGTGGCTTGCTTGAGCCTCACCGAGGGTCCTCGTTAGGAATTAACACTAATCATGTTCCCTTCCCCTCCCTTCTCACAGGCTACAAGGAACAGGGGATCCCACAGCAGCTGTAGTGGCTGGGACAAGTGTGGTCAGAGAAACACGGCGAGAGATTTCCTTTGGCAGCTGTGGGCCACGGACCTTTTCATTACCCTTTGTTTTTCTTCTTCTTCCTTTTGTTTTGTTTCCTTCTGTTTGAACCTGGTTCATCCGTCTGTCCAGCGGAGCAGAGATGCAGAGCAGCTGGTGGAGACTTGCACTGATCCCATTGAGGAGCGGAGATGAGGCAAGCACGGCATGGGTTAGGACTGGTCCTGGCCAGCATGTGGTGGGCAGCCAACAAGGAGGAGGAGGGTGCCAGAAGAAGGAAACACCCTTGGTGAAGGTGGCACCTGGACAGGCAGCTGAGCCGTGGGAGTGGGACATGCTGCTTTTTCTCTCCTCCTAGAGCAAGGTCACTGAAGACATTTTGCCTCCTTTTTATGCTCACTGTTAAAGGAAACTGGCTGTGAATATCAAATGCCAAGGAGCTATTCATATATGTACAGTATATAAAAGCAAACCAGTGGTACTTTTATCCCAGCCCAAGATTCCATCCTTGACTGCTTTGTAGTAGTGAAGGGTTCAACCCAGGCTCCTTTGCTGTCTGTGTGTATACGATGCTCAGTGAAGCTCTGTCCTTACAGATGTCTTGAAAAATGTGCTGGCTGTAAAGTGTATTGTACTGCTGAAGTAACTGGGGTGTCCCTTGCTTCCATCTGCTGCCACCATGCGAAGACCAGACCTCCTGCTGGCCCTTGGGGAGACTTTATCTAGCAAGGACCAGTGCCACACAGCACCTTGCCTCTAGGGTGGCAAGTGCAGCCATGTGCTGCCAAAAGTATAAAACAATGCTGGGGGAGCTGAAAAGACTTTCTGTCCCCCTGAAAAGGACTTGCTGGCAGTGTCTCCCTACTTTGGAAATGGATCCCCTTACAGTGCAGCATGTGCTCTGGCTGAAGCAGCGCCCCAGCTCCACTTCCCCAGGGTAAGTACCCAAAGCTCAGCTAACCAGCTGCTCGATAGCTGTTGTGGTTGGAAGGCCCTGGCCAAATGGGGTAGGGCTGTGTTTTCGTGGTTTGGATACATGATGTGCAGAGCTACACTGGGCATCCAGGTGGAATGAGCCCTCTGATCCTGGCTGGTGTTTCAGCAGGGTGAGAGGAGCTCCTGGTGGCAGCAGCTGGCTGCTTTTCAACTCCAAAAAGGTGACAGGAGGAGCCCTACTGAAAGAGGGCAAAACCAGGCTGCTGCTCGCCCCTGGGGAGGGCCCTCCCAGCCAGAGGAGCTTCACACAAACCTGCTGTCAAAACTGGGAGCCACTTGAGCATGGCAGAGCTGAGACCCACTTCCAGCTCATTGCACCTGCCAAGAGGCAAGGGGATGGCAGCAAACCCCACGGCCCTACAAGCTCCCAGCCTCTCCTGGTGTGATGGTTTGATTTTAACACAGGTTTTAATTTTCCATGCAGAGAAGATCCTGTCAGCTAAAATACTCCTGTTGCAAAGAGAGCTACCACCACAAGGCTATTCTCCACATGCTGTGTGTTTAATGCCTGGAGGCATCACAGGGGTACACTGGGCAGAACAACCACCCGCTGGCTCAAGCGTTTCCTCTGATCTCAGCAGCCTTAATTGGAACATACAGATATATAGATAGAGATGTATGTATATAAAAATAAGGATGGAAATTTGTAATGCAAACAAGTCATTGTATATTTTTCCAAGCCAGACTTCAGCTAGGGCAGTGTATTTTGCAGAGATTCCCTTTGGGCATGCACAACTATTACCTAGTACTTGAGCAGGATGTTCCTGAGCCAACACACTCGCCTAAAGGGCTGCAAAGCTGCACAAGCCCCACTGAGCACATGTCCTACTGTGCCTATAGTCTACAGGAGATGTGTTTAAACTGTCTTTTTGGCACGTGGTTAGCAAGAGGAGAAGAAACATATCAAAGTGAAATGGATTTGTGGAAGACTGTTCAGAAAAAAGCAGTTTAAAGCAGTATTTCAAAGGTTCTGGCCAAATATTAATGACAACCCCCTGTGTATGTAGGTAATAGGCATATTACTGTTCCTGTGATACACCTGAGAAACAGCACACAGTAAGGAAAAATTACCAGTCTTCAAAGAAAACCCATAGCAGAACCACAAGTGTAACTCAGGCTGCATTTCTCTTGCCTCACACCCTAAGCCATGGCTTATACTGCCATGCTGGACAGACAGAAATATGTATTTAGCAATTACCCTGTATCCAGACAGGGATGCTGAGCTTAACGTTTTGGGCTGCTCCACAGAAAGCAAAGGGCCATGACATGGTTGTTGTAGAGGAAGATAGATGAAAAAATGTCAAAGCCACACAATACAGGCAGCAGAGAAGTAGGTTTCTTTGGAAGACAAGCACCAGTCAGTGCTTGTTGTTAACCCAGGGCTGGGAGCACTCGAGAGGAAAAGCAGCACAGTTGTCCTGCCATGATGCTGTGCTGCAGCAAGGCATGGTTACCTTGCTTTGCCAAGGAGAGGCTTCAAAGGCAGCAGCAGCTGGAGAAAATCAACTCCTACTAGGTCAGTGGTGGAAAGATAAAACCCAAGAGCCATCTGGGATCTGCATTAAAGCCAAGGGATGAGCTCCTCGAGATTACTGCTGGCACAGTGATTGCCAAAAGGATTTATGCTCATACTGTTGAACAATTTCAACTCTCTTTGGCCATTTCTTCCAAAGGGACTGGTTAAGAGGATGGCTGCTCAGTGACCTGTGACATCTGCAGCACTGTGGCTTACAGAGCTGTAGAGATGTTTCAGAACTGAGCTTCACCATTTACTGCGAGACAAACCAGCTCTGCTTTCATTTCCCACCTGGGCAAATAAGGGGTAAATAGGATCCTAACCAGGAGCAAACAGGGAATCAGTAGCACATCTTGAATACACCTTCACAAGCTGCTGCTGTCATCATTGGGAACTCTTTTTCTGAGATCTATATCTAGCCCTTGAGCCACCCAAACTTGCCAGCTCAGCTGCAGTGACCACAATGACAAATGGTTACCCCTTGCCTTTGCCTAAAGAGAATGGCTGGTTCAGGTGCAAATGCCAAACTCTGCCTGAGCATTGAGTTAGTTGTGCCATGTCAGGATGGGTGTGGAGGAGCCTCTGCAGACATGGATAACAGGTCATGGGTAAAAGAAACCAGGCAATGCCTTTGGCTGCAGAAGCTCTGAAACAGGAGCAGCTAAGTGTGGCTTAGGAACAACTTGTTCTGGTGCATGTGAAGATAGATTCACTTTTTAGAAAATGCAGTTAAACATGTAGTGAGCACGCAGTGCTGGAAGCTAGTGAGGGTTAAACAAGCTGACATTTTCACTGGGCATTAAACTGCCAAAAGTCACACATCACCTGTGGTGTCAGATGTCAGACCAGCAGCCAGTACCCCATCCCAGAGACCCTGCATCCGTACAAAAGGCCCCCTGGGAACAAAAAGGGGCAGAATCACCTCCTTGTCAGCATCACCAAGGTTTTGCTGGCCTTTTGGGGCACATTTGGTGCTGTCTGTCTCTGTGCTCTAGTGAGGATGGGAGAATGGGATTAGTTGGGGAAGGACATGTGTGGAAATGCTGCCCACCCCAGGATGACTGCAGGTCTCCAGAGAGCATTGCTTGGGTTACGTCTGTGTGCTGTCTGTGTTTATTGCATGAGGGAGTCTGGTACTGCAGTGCAGCACTGCACAGGACAGGTTGCAGGATTTATAATTTACTATCAGGTTTTACTCCGAAGATTTTTGTCTTATTCTATCAAATTGGCAGAGCCAAGAAAACACCCAACACACTGCTTCGGAGGCTCTGAAATCTGTCAAATGACACCCAAGAAAAAGGCCTTATTATTTCTGCCTGTTGTGGTGATTTGCTTAATTGATTTTAATTAGAAGCAGACAGATTGCCACTCAGCTTTAGGAGAGGAGCAACTTTATAGATTGGCCTTGCTATCAGGCAGCAAGCACTAAATTGCATTTTTCTCAAAGCTGCTGCGTGGCAGTAATAATATAATAAACCTGTACTTTTTCCAATAGTCCTGCTTAAAGCAGCACTGCCAAGCATCCCCCAGCCCAGGTGGACACAGCACATGCTCTCAGGCAATGGTGAGTCCCCCATCCTAGCTTCAGATCTCTCTGTAGCTAGTACTGGGGAGATGTGCTGCAGTGAGGTCAAAGGCTGAGCCCAGAGCAGGGCAGGGGAGGCTGGAGGTGACAGCTTGAGTGGTCACAAGGGAGTTCTGTTCAATCCTGTCTTGATTTTCCTCCTCTTGTAAGAGGCCAGAGCTTTGTGCCAGGGACAGACCAAGCAGACCCATCCCCTCGAGGGGATCCTGGGGAGCCCATGGTGTGGAAGCTGGCAGCAAACTGGAGGAGTGTGCATGATATCCACAGTTCACACACTGGTGAGAAGAGCTATGCAGTGAAGACACAGGTATGAGCACCAATTCAGAGCTTTCCACTATTAGCAACGACTTTCTTTCTCTTTAGGGCCAAATTAATCACCCAGAACTTTTACACCTCTTTCTGAAGCGCCATGGAGGGAGGCCACCTCCTCCAGGACAACACCTCCACCAACACAGGGGCTGCATCACTCTGCCTGCCCGCAGGAGCTGTGCCGTGATGTGTCACTCCACTGCTGCAAACCGACCCTGCCTCCTCGCCAGCACAGCCAGAGGGCACACCCCTGAACGTTTCGCCTGGTTCAAAGTGCACAGCACCCAGCTATCCCGATGCCATCACCTGCTTTATAAATGTACATGTTTTAAATGCCAGTTTTACAGCTCAAGAGTGATTAAAAAAAAAGGGCTTTAATGAAATAGTTCCTTGGTACTTGAACCCAGCCAGGCTGAACAGCTGATTTACTACCCATTGGAAAGCAATTCCAGGTAGGAACCAAACCAAATGTGTGTTTGAAATGCGTGGCCAGTCATAAGCAGTTTCATTCTGGGTCAGCCCAACTCGTGCAACAACAGGAATATATTACCATTTTTTCCAAGTCCATCGATGTTGCC